AGGAGTACAGTTTTTATTGTAAGAATTTGCATAACATGAAATTGATATTCATGTTAGTTACTGCTTCTTGACTACTTCATTCTTATTTTGTAAGGTGTATAACATTACAGACTTATTTTCAGTATTCAGGGCCCATTTCATGTTAATATGGGTATTGAAAAGCCTCTCTTGTGCATTTGCAGACTTCTCAGTGGTGCTGAATATTTGTTCCAAGCCAAAGATGAAGAGGAGTTGACCATGTGGGTTGGTGCCCTCCAAGCAGCTGTGTCGGGCGAGGGATCCGCTGGTCCTTCACGATCTCAGACACTTCCAGCTGGTGCTGAGAAAAAAGATGAACCTAAGCGACGAAGTTTCTTCACTCTGAAGAAGAAATAATAGACCATACATTTGGTCTCTTATAGTTTCTTCTCTCAGCATCAGTTTCTTTAAATCATCATGCTACCTGTATTTCCATATTCACTTTCCTCATCCTGATTCTCTCCTCTAGTCCAAGACCTTTTAAACATGGCTTCAAACCCATCATGGATAAACAATGTTGATAATATCGTAATAGGGATGACAAACACATGGGCGTTGGAATGCTATCGCTGGTGTGGGCAGCGTGTATATCTACTGTTTAACTGTAGCTGGGATTGGAACAAATTTATTTTGCTTAGCATCATCAGCTTCAACCTTCTTTGTGTGCTAGCTGTCCATGGTGGGTTTAAACCACAGTCATCCAATCATTCATTTTTCCTTCATAAAGAAATATTTTTATTCACTTTCCCATAAGTGGGTGTAAGAGTTGTGTTGACAGTACCACACATTGGTAATAATTTTTTCTTGTGAAGTATAAACTGTTGACAGTTTTTTGTGTAATAACATTACTGGTGGAAGGATAATATGCAAAGGTGCAGTTCCCAAATCTTATCTGCCTAGCACTGCCATGGCTGAGTTTTCCGATGAAATGTCTCCCATATTGTTGGGAGACCGTGTGTGGAATTGTATATTTAGTGTTTTTATCAATTGTCATTTTATTTTGATCGGAGAAAATTGTCCGTTTTTATTATTACTTTTTTTTTTAATCGTCTTTGGCTGTAGTATTGCAGTTTTGACTAGATAGCACTTATTGTACAGAAATGATAGTATTGCTTATTATGCTGCTTGTGCTTTCATTTGTATTATTATATTTAGATATTCCTGCATAACTTCATAGTTCTTCAGGTTATTATCGCATATGATGGGAGGCCAGCCAATACCTCAAATGTACAAGCAGGTTCAATACCGGTATCTTATTCACGGTTCATGTAAATTACACCGCCGGTATGTTTATTTCCTTTGGAATTTGGATTGGCTGTATTGAAGAAGAAATTCAAGTTCCAGCTTAATTTTATTCTACTAGCAAAGCATGGATGGACCTGCAGATAATACTGTAAAGTTTGTTTGGAGCAGCAACAGCAGCCACTTCAGCCAGCAGACCAGTTTTCTTGCGTGGTCCAGATGAACCATGGTATGATTTTGCTCCCATTGCTCATGATTTTTTACTCACTTTTTCCTCTGGTTGATTAGTTCATTGCTGGAGCTGTCAGTTTAGTTTTTGTGATTATATTTTAATAAGGAACAAAGATTTTTGAAATTTTAAAACTAATGTTCTAGTCATGGGACATAATTATATTTGTTATTGTCTCGATTTCATATACCATAAGCGTATATGTTCCCTTGTAGGGTTGAGATAAATATCTTTGGTATTTATTTCTCAATTAAATCGCAATTAGGCAGTCTCGAAGTTACGCACCACTAACCATGCGTTAGCGGTGATGTTCTTTTATTGGTTATTTGTCTCTCAGTAATTTTATACTTGAAACTATCAAACATGCAAATGGATATGAAGAGAGCTCCAGTAGCAGCACTAATCAGCTCTTGTATTTCTAACCATAAAGAGTGTTGTGCAATGTTTTCACCCCAAAATTATAAGACATGTCATGGTCATCTGCCCCACTAACTTTCCATATGAGGGATGTTAGGTAACATGCTTCAATAGCTTCCTAGCTGTAGGGTAATATTTCAGTCTTAAATGAATTAAGAGAGGTAATTTTAATTGTTAAAGTGAACACTGTATATCATATATTGTGACACTTAAATAAAATGGTTTAAGCTACGAGAAACCTTTTGACTAACATCCCTTGTACAAAAGCTTTATTTACTACTAATACTCTCAAGAGTGACTTGTAATGTGTGGAAAATAAACCTTAACACCCTCGAGTTCCCTAGCTATATACTTTTGCAGTGGGGTTTAGCTGAAGGTGTGATATTAGAACTATATTAGTAAAATGGTCATGAGTATGGTATAATAGCCCTTGGGCTGTAAAATTAATTGCAGATACTCCACTTTATTACCTATATTCCGTCCCAAAGTGTTCTCTTATTATTGCAAATGGTAGTACAGTGTATGGTAACTGATCAGTCAGCTCAAATTTAACTCGAGTTTTTTTTATACAGTTTTGTCAGAGGAAAATGAAAGGTTAAAGAAAAAGTTTTAATGTTAAAAAAGGGCAGTTGGAAGCACTGTTAGGACAGATGAAGAGGCCTGCAAAGACTTGAACAAGGAACTGCAGTCAATATTTACTACAGAAACTATCCCACCCCCAAAAATTGCAGTGGTAAGAGATCATGGGTCCGTATTAAAGAACGTCGTCTTTTCAGCTGATGAGGTATGCAAAGCGTTGATGGAGATAGATGCATATAAAGCTATGGGACCTGATGACATATTCCCTTATGTACTTATGAAGTGTGCTAAACCATTATTGGTGGCATTATGCATCATATTTGAAAAAGTCTCTGGAATCTGGGGAGAATTCCATAATGCTGGAAACAAGTGCACGTGGTACCTATCTTCAAAAAGGGAAGGAGAGACACTTCTAAACGTAGGCCTGTTTCCTTGACAAGGATAGTTTGCAAAGTTATGGTGAAACTGCTAAGAAAATGCATCTGTCTTCACTTGGAGTCTTTCAACTTCGTCAGCAAGACAACATGGCTGCAGAAAAGGAAGATCTATAGTATCAAATCACAAGAATTTTATGATGAAGTAATCTAAAGCTTACAAGAGAGGGCTGGGGAGATTGCATATTCTTAGATTTTTTAAAGGCATTTGATACAGTCCCACATGGGAGATATTACGAAGTTTCAAGTAATAGCAAGAATAGGTGGAAATGTCTAGGAGTGAATAAAAACTTATTAGAATGAAAGGGAACCGAGGTTTAAAGTCGGACATTCATTGTCTGACTGGACAAAGGTTAGTAGTGGTGTTTCACAGGGATCAGTTTAGGGCCACTTTTGTTCCTTGTATATGTAAATGACCTACTGTAGTCTGTAAATGTATTTTTGAATATGTTTGCATATAATGTAAAGACTGTGAAGAAAGTAAAAGACGAGAACAATGGTAGAGAACTTCAGGAAGACCTAAATAGTCTGCATGGGTGTTCAGAAAAACCGCTAATGAAATTCAATGAGACTGGCCACTAGTGCAATAGGTTCAAGTTTGGGTATTCAATAACAGGTGCAGAGCTTCAAAAGACCGAGAATGAGAGATCTAGGTACAAACGTATTGGCATTTTTGTCTCAAGATGTGCATATAAATGGTGTAAAGGCTGCATATTTTTCTAAGCATATGTAAAGGTGGCCTTCAGACACATGGACAAGGAAATGTTCAGAAATATTTCTTGTGAGGCCAAAGCTTGAATATGCAGCACCCTTTAGAATCCGCACATAAAAAAGACATGCTACAAAACTGGTGACAGATACACAATAAAGAGGAAAGGCTGAAGAAATTACTTACTCTCACTTGAAGCTGAAAGTAAGAGGATGGGATATGGTGACGATTTTTAAACTCCTTTATAGTTTTGAGAAAGTGGACAGGAAGCAACATTTTGATATGGGTGGCTCTAAAACTGGAGGTCACCTAGCTTGAAACTTTGTATGAAAACATGTCTGCAGGATGTAAGGATGTACATTATAGTGTTCGAATGATTGAAATTCAAAAGAAACGCATGAATATAGTGAAAATGGCTATACTAATTACGAAGGAGAAACCGGAAACAGCGGAGTGCCTTAGCAGTTGTGAGTATATTTTCATGTTGCCTTCTATAAGAGTAAATAAATATACTAAATAGAATTAAGATATTCTGTTGTTTCTAGTTTTCTCTTTCTAGTCAATATATATATATATATATATATATATATATATATTATATATATATATATATATATATATATATATATATATATATTTGTGCTGTACTGTACTGAATCTTTTTACCTAAACACAACTTACGAACAATTCTACTTACGAATGAACTTCTGGAACCTAACTCGTCTAAAGTTGGGGAGTCTCTGTGTATATTTTGGTAATAAGTACTCAGTGTACCTGGAATATGATGTAATACAGTAGTCTATCTTTGACATACTTAGGGAATCTTGGACTATTTTAAAATTTCAGATAATGTATCCTTATATCTGCACTATGTTTCAAGTATAATCTTATTCCAGGTTTGGAACCAACTCTGATTCTTCTGGTGGTTGCTAATGAGGTGTATGACACATCTTCACGAGCGATACGTCCTACTGTGTATAACTCTGTATACAAGTAGAGACATGAAACTATGGAAGTACTACGTTTATCATAGTACATGCACTGTATATACATTAGGAATCTCTTAAAAGGTTTTATCCAAGACTATCAATATATAAATGTATATTGTGTACATTAAACACAGGACATCAAACCTAACAGTAATTATCATGGCTATGGTATTCAAGTGCATAGAAGTTAACCATAAACTTTAATAATGTAACTATTATTTGCCAATTTTGTTTCTGTACAGAAATATGTTCTCCATTCCCATTTGGTTCAACATAATTGATAGAATCAGCTAGTTATAAGTTATATTCTTACAAATAAACAGCCCGCAATTTCTCTTTAGATATTTTCCTGAAAATCGTAATATGCAATTACTAAGTGGTATAACACCGTGGCAGAGTGGTAATGTTCGCGACTTTGATTCGTCAAGCTGTGGGTTCGAAACCCGCCACGGTCTAAGGTTAGAAAGAGCACTCAGGGTAATGGGTCACTTGCCAAAACCAAACTCCTTCACAAGAAGGCACTGTTCTAGCCCTTAGTAGAAAAGGAAGTCCTTGACATAAAACCGATCACAAAACAGTACATATACCGTATAAGTTTGGAATGGATGGTAACATTTAAGAAAAAAAAAGTTACTTATTACCTTCATCAGCTGTTTCTTCAACATGATTTTTGTAGCAGACGAAATTTTTTTGGGACGTGCATGAATCACAGTGTACTTATGAGTTAACATCTCGGAATGCAGGCATACTATATTCTATGAAGAATAGTAAATAGCTGATATACACTCTTGCTTTATAGGGACTATTAGTCTGTAGATAATAAAGGGTATTAACAGATAACAACAAGTGCAATAGAACTGTACAACTTCAATATTAACTCACAGAGTTATACAATCATGCACAATTGCATTACAATACACAGAGTTTAACTATGTACATTACAAGAAGAGTCATATGACGAACCAAAATTTTATAACTTCCCTCTCAAAAGAGAATTTTATTTTATTTTTTTTTAAATAAAAACCGACAGAGAAACATCAAGCAGGAGCTAAAAAGGGTGGCTACAACTGTAAAAAGACTTGAAGCAACAGGGAATCAACATATCTAACTCATCCTTGCTTGTCTTAGTTGCTTTGTGGCAAGAATATGAAAGACGCAATCAGTAAATACGTATGACTTATATAGGTATAGTTTCTTTTGGAAATAATATGTAGATTATAACAATACATTTGTGATCTTACAATAATGCAAAAAAAAATATATATATTTTGTTACACAAAATCCTTTTGCCTTAAATATACAGAGTAATATATTTCATATACTGTAAATTATTAATATAATAATAAATTTTTATCATCGCATATCTATTAACATTATATCTAACAAATATTTTCAATAACATATAAAGCTGCCTTTAATAACTAATGAGGTTCAAAACCTAAATAAAATACATTAAATTTTTGGAGTCTGGATTCATATGTCAAGTGAGTATCAAAGGGGGGATGGGAGGGCGGAAATTTTGGGGTGCTTTCAAAGGCTATATAGTAATAGAGTTATTACCCTTGAAAATTCTATGGGAGCCGGTAGCTCTGTGGTAGAGCAAGCAAATGCTGAAATAACAAGTTTAGCATTTGCGATTTTGTTGAAACTATGGGGCGTTAGGAGGGGAATCAAGCCATAATCCTCCAACTCCAACCTCTCTATGGCCACCCCCTAGAAGATGAGGACTAATTGTGACGTATACTGGGGGGATTTTTTTTTTTTTTTTTTTTTTTTGCGCGTCCTAAGTACATTAACAGTTTTGAACCTTATCAACCTAAAAATGTAACGTTATCATTCACTGCACAAACCATTTTATTACAATTGTCATTCTAGAATGGAAATAAGAACGATAAATCCCTTCAATAGTAAATACAGTATGTTATTCAAGTAATTCACAAATATACAACATCATGTTTCCATTATCCATAACAAATGCTTCAATCAGTGTAGTCCTGCTCCAAGGAATTGGAAGAGTTTATGGATCAATATTTCTAAGAGCATTCTGGTTCAGACCGCAGTATGTAAAATACGATACCTTCTTAATGCGAATTTGATAAGAGCATTTTAAAATCTCATTTTTGTTTGTACTATTTTTTTTTCTTTAATTTAAAAACAATCTCAGTTTCTATATTTTCCCTCTAAAAACGAATGCATTATACTGTATACAGTTTGAGTAAATGCTATCCAGAAATATAGTATACTTAGCGTATATTCCACGATAAAAAATGTAACAGCGACCTGCAATAGTCCTTAACTATACATTATGTTTTTAAGCACATCACAAACTTATGACAGACATATGTAACAAAGATCATATATATATAAAAAGCCTAATGGGGCCTAACACTTTGTTCCTCTTTTCAAAAAAAAGGAAAATAAAATCAGTACCTTTTGCTATCTACTAAAATATTTTTTTTAAAGGGTATGAGGTATAAATAAGAGTATAAAAGTATGCAATATAAAAAAATTCAGTATGAGTCATATATATACCTACATATTTTTTGGCAGCAATAAATATATATCTTCAGAATATGTACTTCTCAACTATTATGGCATTCTTATTAAATACGTTATAATCCATTATACTGTGGTGAGTCTGGTACAGGCAGGTGGTCTTGACGAGCCCCCGAAATTCTGGACAGAACGCCCCCACGAGATACTCGCGATGTACTGGTATTCACGGACCCTTCTCTTGAATGGTTAAGATCCCTGGAATTCAAGGAGTGCATTATTGTGAATCTGAGACATTTCTTTAAATATCCTGTAAAAGTTAACAGGTGGCCACATCCTTAACAAAACTAATTTTGAAGCCTAATATACCGTATATAAAAATGTCAATATTGTAAAAAAATAAATTTCAGTGTTGTAAGCTAAAAGAAGCTTAAGATATTAATTTAAATGAGATTAAACTCATATCGTAAACAAAGTTCATATAACCAGATAATATGCTAAATATAAAATAATATAAATACAATTCATCATTATGACTTTAATCATGACAGTTAAAGCGACGTATAGAATACAGTATAAACATTATCTGAATTGGCAAAGTTTGAGTGTTTGGGACACTTTTTTTCTCCCCTTGAAATAAAAAACTCACTCAAATATGTCTGTCTATAAAAATAATTATTGTATAGCATAGTTAAGCATATTATTCATGAACTGATTCTAAGAGGTAGTATAAAAAAATATCTCCTTGTAGTATAACTCTATTGCATCCTTCATATGGAACTCTTTTTAAATTATAAGAATTACAAAAGTAAAGGTCATGTTTATTAAGGCTTACTTTAAAGGAATCTTGACATTTCACCAACAGGGTAAATTGAACAAAAAGATATCGTACTTTCTAGTCTTCTGTTTTTATCATTACAATGATCAAAAAAGTTTTTGTGACCATCAAAGTATATAAATAAATTTATAACCTTTTCACTCTTTTAATTCTTAAGGTAATTTCTAATTTTATATATATATATATATATATATATATATATATATATATATATATATATAATATATATATATAATCATAGGCACATAATAATTAATTTAATAATCACTATTACAAAATAATGATTAAACTCACGCAAAAAATGGCAGCAATGAAGTGAAAGTTGGTTTGTCTGGTGATGAGACAAGTTGAGGGTGAGATCCAAGAAGAAGATTGACAACCTTTCGTATGTACTCTTGGAGGCGAATTCTACGTTCCTCAACAACGCCTTCATCCTAGGAGTAAGTTCAAACATACAAGCGACTGTATTGTTGTTACGAAATGATTATATATATATATATATATTATATATATATATATATATATATATATATATATATATATATATATATATATATATATATATATATATATATATATATATATATATATATATATTGCCTTGAGTTCAAGTTGCATTAAGTTCTAACAATAAAGTGCCATTTCCATTATTGAACTCATTATATGTCACAATTTGGTGGGGCTAGGAGACGACAGACTGGCTCTACAACATTATTAGGAATAAAATAATTTTTTTTACCACAGCACAAAGTGGGCTCAAACAGATCATATGGTAAAGTATATCAGTTTATATCCCACAAAGCTTCTGGCGCTCCAAACAGAGCTATCTGATCACCATACCCATAGTTGTAACAATAAAACCAGCTGTGGCAGTCAGGGCTCATAGCAGATCCTTGTCCACTTGCACTGTGGATACCCAAGCAGGGTAATGGGGGAAACTGTGGCAGACATTTATCCCCAAAGGACTAAGAGGAGTGATCAAGGCATATTTGCTTCCGGTGAATGTATGTAGTTTTATTCGGCCACCCCCTTACAGGGGGTAATGCAGCTATTGAATATGAACAATAACATAAAAATAATCTGAAGACACTGATATATACCTTGTAACCAAATGTTTTCTTCTGAGGAAAGTCAAAAGATTTAACTATAGGTTCTTTCTTCTTAAGCTGCCTATGAAGTTCATAGAACTGAGCAAAGCGGCGATATACGTTCCATTCATCATCACGTATACGAATATAGATCTGCAATAACATTTTAAGAAGAGCTAAGTTAACACTGAGATCTTAACACTTTCTGACAGTTACATATTTAATACACTTTAAGATGTGTATTACGAGACAAATGGATGCTAATAAAATGCTGGATATATATTACTACTTAAATCTCCATTACATAATACAATAGGCATCACTCAACAACAACGAAAGTAAAAAATAAATATGATAAACACACTGTCTTGTTATACTGCTTAAATATAATGCCATTCCGAAATTCCATACCTGATATACATGATAAGTATCAGACGAGGAACCCGTCAAGAAAGCTGTGGGAATCCAGATATTAATCAGTGTTCGAGGAGTGGTGGATACAGAGAGAGCATCCAAATCGCTGGTTACGCTAGCAGTATCGTCCATGTCGTCATCGTCGTCATGCTCATCAGGAAGGGGGCCGCGGAGGTCTATCAACTCCTCACGTAACCTACGGACCTGCATGGATAAACGAAAACAAGAACATTTCTCATGTCATACTCCAGACCTGCTGTAAGACTTTGAAGCTGGACAAAGCTTACCATGGTTAATCTAGAATACTCAAGACGAAAAATATAGGGAAAACTATTCCACTTAATTAATATTTCACAATAATACAAAAAGTTACATCAAAAGCCAAATAAGAATGGTGATAAAATGCAGGTCAAAATAACATCCCAAATGTAAAAATGAGAGCAAAAACTTTTAAAGTAATGAAATACATAATTTCAAGTGAAGCAATTAGTCCCCATTCTGATAAGGGTGGACACAGGGCTGATAGATGGATACCCTTCCTAACCTGCAGGAAAATCAAACCCACATCAATCACTTTTCGACTAAGGGACTCTACTCCCAAGTTCCTCTAAGAAGATTTACTAC